CAAGATCCACCTCAAGAACATCAGAAAAAGTAATTTTAGAATTTTGACTTGAAATTTTGCTTAAAGATAGACCTTAAACTGGATAGTTCATTGGGAAAAGTTCCAAATCTTTTCATTGTTCCTATCCTAACATACGGCTTTAGTAAAAGTATGTCTTTCACATCATTCTTCATACAATAATAGATTCGATGCTGTTATTTCAGGTTAGAAACAAATCAAAAGAGCTAAAATTTTCTTAGCAAACTATTCCGTTTACAACTTATCTCTAAACAAAATTTTAAATAGAAATTTTAAAATTAGCTTTTCTGGTGTTCCTAAGGATATACTGATGCAAAGTCAAAAACTTAGACATCGTGTAGTAATAAACATTCCTGTTTTGAAAGATCAGGTACCATCCAATATTTATGAGCACATGGTAACAGTTTGTGGTAACAATGCTCCATCACATACTAGGACATTCGAATCGTCTTATTGCTTTAAAGGTGGACAATTAAGCACCAATGATGATCCTATGGTGGACTGACTAATCTCTGTAAAGGACGAAATAACTGTTAAAGCTATCGAAAGCATAGTCATCGAAGACTGTCGAGCTACGATTTAGTGAATAGCAAACATTCTAGACATTTTATGTAACACCGTACATGGCATTTTGCATGATCAATTATAAATGATCAAAATCTCACTATTCTACTGAAGGAGACGACTTTTGTTTTGGAATTATGACTGGCTCTGAAACCTCGATTCATCATCATGAATCGGAATCAAAGCAAGCATCCTGGTAGTGAAAGCGAGCTGATTCATCATTATCACTATCAAAACTAAGAGAGCAGACGTCTACCAGTAAAGTTTTATATTCATTTTTCTAACGTCATAAACGGGTAATTCTCAAACAATTCATACCACTACGTATGACAAACACTAAAGTATATCACATATTTCTTCTAGTAAAAGAACTTCATCCAGAAATTAGAAAACAATGATGACGTTTAATTTCGACCAGTGACATTTTTCAAGACGACAGTGCTTCATCACATCTCGTTTCTTTTATTACTCACGTTTTGAAATATGAATTACCTCATCATTCATTTTATTCTCAAGATCTGACTTCCAGTGATTATTTCCTGTTTCCAGTTCTAAAGAATTGAACTTAGTTAGGTTCATTATTACATCAGTGTCTGAATCGTCTATCTGAAAATGACTTCACAACAGCTATAAAAAAAAAGCTTCCAGAGTGTTGGCAAAAGTATGTTGTGACAAACGGACCTTGCATCAAAAAAGAAAAACATACGTTTATAATTACAACTCATTTATATTTTTTTCATAAATCAGTTCCGGAGCTTTCTAAATGCCATACGTAGCATAAACTCTTTCTAGGATATTTATAACTTATTAAGGTCTACATGATGCATCTTGTCCCTATTTAAAAGTGATTCATGAAATGAGGAGACTTATCTCGTTAGATTAGAAAGAGAATATAGGTAGGTATGTACCAATTCCAATCGAACTGGTACCTACTCGAACGAATACTGATATCCGGATGGACTGTTATCCAGTAGCGCTTGGACCGTTGCTTGTCTGGCTATAGTCGATATCATAGATACTAAAATCTAAGGTTTTCTCTTTGCAGATAAGTCATTAAGAATAGCAGTGACTACTTGATCATGTATAAATTTAATTTACCCATCGTATGAATAACATTTTGAATCCATGGTTTTTCGTCATCATTTGCTATTTGATAATTTGCTATAAGCCAAAGAAGTACATGTACAAGTGATCCATATGAAACATGTGTTAAATAATTAATTAATTGTGAAACAATTTGTTTTGTTTCATCTAGTGATAATGATTGGAGTTCTCCAAGTAAATAAATTGTTTTAATTAAATATTCAATATTTGAATATTTGGCTTGTATATTTTCATTATTAAAATTTTTAATATCTAATAAAAATTCATCTTTTTCTAATAATGATATATCATTAAATGAATTATTTATTGTTGAAAGAAAATCAATTGAATGAAGTGATGATGAAAATAAAGCATGACCTAAATGACGTGATAACCAATATTTTTTTAACCATCTATAAATAATAAATGATGATGATGATTTATCATAATTAATATCTAAATAACCAAAATCTTCTGATGTATCATCTGTTATTGATGTTATATAACAAAGTAAATATAAAGCAAGATCATATTGTGTTTGTGTATAAGATAAAAGTAATTGAATAAATGAATAATATTGATCAAGTGCACATATTAATGGTATATAATCAGTTAAATTATTAATTAAATTTTGTAGATTATCATTATCATTTGGTGTTGAAAAAATTTTATATAAAGATTTTTCTAATGAACGTTGTAATTGAAGAACTTGAAATGAATAAGAATCTTTAAAAAAATAAAAAGAATTGATTAAGAAAAAATAAATAAACAAATAAAACGAACGTATTTGGTGATTTTGATAATATCGTTGAATTTGTTGAATATATGGTAGACGAACTTGTTGTATATAAAGCATTAATTGATTAATTTTATTTTCATTTTTTTCTTTTATATCATGTTTAGTATAATTTAATGTTGTTTGAAAAAATTTTTCAAATACATTTTCTAAACATAATTCATCCATACGATTAAGTAAATATTCATTGTGTAATAAAAATGTTTCAATCGATTGTTTTATTATATCAAATTGTGTTTCAAGAGATGATGCTAATATACGTGGTAATTGAAAATTTATATATGCTGACCAACGTTGTTGATATTCACTATTATTTGTTGATATTGATGAAAGATATCCACCAAATGATGCTTGAAAAAGACGAAGATAGATTAATGATGGATTTGATGTTGTAGAAACATGTTCATAGAAACGAAGAATTAAAAGAAGTATTGATGATGATTTATGAAGTTGATTTATAACAAGCATTGAAACAATAGGATTGAATATTGATGTTTTAAATTCAATGTCTTCTTGATGAAATTCGTCCGATAAATGAAGATGAGTTATTCTAACAAGGAAAAAAACGCCATTAGCACAATCCATGTGAGATTAAAATGTAAAACACGTTGTAATTGCTGTTGCTAATCATAGGAAAACTGCTTTATTCTATCTATTTTGGAAGACATTTCTTCACTTATCCTTTTACTTAATCCTCCAAAAATGTAATAAAGAAGTAGTTTACGACATGTTATTGATATACAAACTGACTTGTCTGTCACATCTATTGAAAAGTCCAAATTTCTATCCATATACTTCCGCGCCGTCTTTTAGATCCTATTTTACATAATATATGATTATTTTATAAGGAGAAGTTAACCAACTCTTACTTCAAAGTTTAGGTCAAATCACAAGAGCTGTTCAAGTAATTTCTCTGTTAAGGCATGATCTGTTTGAAAAATTTTGTTCCGTGTAAGCAACGCGATTTCAATAGTAGAACTAACGTTTTTTGTACCCGAAAGTGCACTTATAAAAATAATAGAACAGAAGTTATTTGGACAGATCAGTCAAGGAGGAAAATGCATGATTCTACACTTCCGAAGTATCCAGAGAAGTACAGAACAGAGGTCTCGATAGAGTGAGTTGAAGATAGCTGGTTCATGGGTTACCAACCTTTTATCGCATATAGCCCATTGGTTTTTTCCTTAAGAAACAACTCACCGATGGATCACTTATCCAGTTTCAACTTTCCTAAACAGAGAGTTTAATCCAGGGATTATCGACTTTTGATCTGGCCTAACTCATAGTTTTCTATTCAAAAATAATTCCTTCATGGACTGAGTTTAGCTCAGCCCATTGAGTAGTTCATGTTTCACAAAAGCTATAGCTAAAAGACTTTACGAGACTTCTAGAATTTTAAAAATGAAGTTTCTGCTGTTTCCTTTTCGTCCGTATCTATGATAGTCGAGCAATAATACTTAAAGGGTTAAATCAGAAGTTCTACAAGTCATATTTGAAAAGAACTCTAAATTTTGATTATAACCCAATGTTTTCAAATTTGTGCAGACTTCTTTAAGAACCTGAAAAGTGAACGGACATTTTATAAAAATACTTTTCAATAATATTTTATCATTTATGATTCATTTTGTACATCAAAAGATACTTTACTTAAAAAGAATTTGTTCATAAACATCAGGTCTAAAGTTTTCTCCAGGTGGTATTCTTTTTGAAACTGATTCTAATCGTTCTTGCAATTGTTTCCATTCTTTTTGTTCTTTTTGTGCTTTAATTATCATTAACCAAAGACAATAATATGTTGTATTTGTAAATAATAAAAGAAATAAATTCGAAATTAATATAATCATTTCTTTTTCTTTTAAATTCATTGGTTCATTTATATTTAATTGATTTAAATATGTACATAATGTTGAACAAAGCCATTTAGCAAGTAAATTCAATTGTTTACCAAGACGAGGTGCTTGTTCAGCATTAACATGCATAGCTTTAAGAATTTCAAATAATAATTCAAGAAAAAATTTTATTTGAATATCATTTGTTGTTATTAATGATGATAATGGTGTTAATGAAAGAAGACGTTCAATAACTAATGATTCATTTATATAACCTGATCTTGCATGAAATTTAAAATATGATTGAAGAAGATTTGATGATACTGCTGAATCAATATGTGTAAGAACTTGTGCTAAAAATTATTAAATACATAAATATTTAACACGAAAAAAAAATAAATCTTTATTCTTACTAGTAAATAATGTACGAAATTCTTCTTCAGATCGACATTCTGCAATTAATGGTGCAAGTGAAGCTGAAAAACTAGTTTCATTTGAACGTAATTTCCAAGCTTCAATTAATTTTTCTTGTAGAATATTTGCATCTAACACCATTTTTACAATTATACAAACAAAAACAAAAAAACAAATCTGAAATATAAAATATTTATTTATTATCACCGAGTTAAAAATTATTGAAAATAGACAAAACGAAAATACATAAACACAATTGATTAAAAAATAAAAATTCTCTGTTTAGTTGTGACTAGTCAATGATCACGTTCTTCTGGTGATCGATAAGGTAAATTTAAATATTTAAAAATAGATTCTTCTGTTGGAGTATATAATGGTGTACCCATATTGATTTTTGAATTATTCTAAAATAAATAAATCTCAATAGAATATTATATGTTTGTATAAAGGTTAGATTTTACCTTGCGAATAACACCGGTATTAAGACGATGCTGAGATAAATACCTTTAAAAATAAATATTATTTTATTAAGAAAAAGAAAAAGAAAACAAATTACATGTTATATTGATGTGCTAAATTTCGCATTGATCGATTAAAAAGTGCACTACCAGTAAAATAAAGTAAAGCACAAGCATATTCACTATGTGGTACGACAATAATATCCAAACGACGATGCTTTAAAATAAAATATTATTGTTTATTTTTTTTTGTTTTCAGTTTGTAAAAGTACTTACTTTTCTATTTTCACCGGGTAATAGACAAACACCAAAATATTTCACATGAGAACTTTTAATACAACAACAAAAGACATACTCAAATTAAAATACAAACTGAATTACATTTACCCGCTATCTTCTTCATATTTATCCGAAAGAACAAGATCATCAGTTAGAAAACCTAAAACATTTATTTATAGAAAAAAAATTCAAATAGAGATGTGGAGTGTAAAATTTTTTTCGTAGCCTCTCTGAGAAAAATTTTCTAATCATTACCCCATTCTTACAGGCGCAAGCCGATGCATTGCTCAGTGGTTAAAATTTCTTGATAAATTATTTGAAAACTTTCTTTATTTCGAGAAATTTCGAAATAAAAACAATAATAGAGAACTTACTGACAAGAAACCAAATAGTAACACCTTCAAAAACTGATTTGGGACGTCGAAGATTCTTAAAAATCAAATTATCTATTTCTGTGTCGTAATGGCAGCTCAGTCGATCGTCTTAAACTTCTATCTATCCTACTTTGCATATCTCTAAATTCAAATAAATTCTGGAAACATACCAGATTTTCTTAATGAATCTACTAATGGAATAAGTAGACCTTGGTGAGATATCCCATCAGTATGTGTAATTAAAATATCAACATCACCACATGTTACTTTGCCTCGTCGATATGAACCACAAGTTTGGACAATAAGACCTGGTACTAATGCAAGTGCATGTTCTTTTACCTAAATATAATTTCAAATGAAATTAATAATGAAAAAATTATCTTTCATTTAACACACGTACGACAGCTTCAATTTCAGTAACTTCATCACGTGGAATTCGTTCAAGAAATTCATCATAATATTTTAATCCAACTTCTTGATTATGAGATAATTTTGCTTTTGTACGAAGATCATCAAGAGTACGAAAACCCTATTTCATCAAAAAAAAAAAATATATATATATATATTCTCTAAACATCTACAATAATGAAAAAATTTTACCTGATCATACCAATTTTTAGCAATATTTGGTCCACATCCCCATACATTACCAAATAAATTAATAACAGTCATGTATTCAGATGATTGAAAATCTTCTAGTTTTTCCAAACTACCTGTATCAATTATTTCCCAAATTTTTTTAGCTAAACTTTCACCAATACCAGGTAATTTTATTATTTCCTAAAATGAGGAAAAAATGTATTTTAAAAAATATTCTCAAAGCATTTTGTTTTACTTCATATGAATCAATTCGTTTTGTGCATCGACGAATTGTCGTTATAGCTTTTTGATATGAATATGCACGCCATTTATCTAACAAAAAGAAACTCGGAAATATGAAAAAGGATAAATAAAATGACTAAATCTCCCAAAGAAATATATTATCTCTATATAGATAATAATTCTTCACGTCTAGCTCTATTAAACCCGTTCTCTCAAAAAAAAAAAAAAGTTAATTTTCATAAAAAAACATAAAAATTGAGATAGATGCATGTGAAGAGAGTCAAGGTTCCAGAAGATTTTTTAATGTGACACTTCGTTTTTTTCAAATGCAGAGCATCACAGAATCCAATTTTTGAATTAAACTTTGTTACTATTATATAGAAGAGTACTGTTACAATTAGAGCGCCATTTTCGAAGGCATTCAACTTTTCATCCCTGTTCTTCCCTTCAATAATAAGAATTAAAACAAAAGGACTCTGTTATGCTCTTTTAAGCAAACAAAAATTAAATCTAAAGAATTAAGGTCTACACAGAATTTTGGATTGCTCGATGAGCTATTTTCTGACACTTGCTAGTTGAATATCCCCGCAAAACATCACGCGATGCAGGGCTGAAAATTTCGGGCAATTTGAATGTACTTAGGTCAAAATCGATTTTCGAGGGGATGCTTAAATATACAGTAAAATCTTTCTCAGTGAACATCTCTCCTTTATGAACACTCCTTGATTCTGAATGTGAACGTCAATAGAAGAAGCTACTTGAATTAATCATACGTTTGGAGTTGTAAAGATGATCAACAGGAAATTAATTGGCTCTATGATTTAATCCAATGAAAATGAAAAAGAAACGACAAATATTTTTGAACAGCTTGTCAACCTTCGTTTATTAGATATGATATCTCGTAACATTCTTGATTTACAGAAAAACATGAATTTTATCAAGAACAAAGAATAAGGTTTATTTCATTATGAATAAAGAAATAAACTACAAGTATTCATCGAAGTTGGTCAAATACTCTCAAAAGAAAAAGTGGATATATTACTGATTATAAAACTAATCTAAAATAAAAGATGAACCATGATTTCAGTCAAATCATCAATGATAATATTTAAACCTGATTAGGAAGGGTCATGACATGGTGTTTGAAATGCATCTGGTTAACAAGATTTACAGTGTCAAAAAATCAAAAATTATTTAATAAAATAATAAAAAACCACCTAAAACGATGCAGAAAGTGATAAAACTAATATTTTCATTTATATTTGTTTGACCACCTAGATTATGAACACCATGTTATATTGAACGATTTCTCGCAATCCCGAGAGTGTTCACAATATAGAGATTTTACTGTAAGAAGAAAGGTAATCATGGCTGAGTAGCTATATTGTTTTACATGTATCCACAAGGTACTATGTTCAAACCTCAATGCCATCATCCATTGAGTAATTCTGAACAAGTCACGATTCCGTCAAATAGCATGCTAACTAAGTTGTGAAATACAACTGTCATTTTGACTAGTTGTGGTTAGTCAATCTATAAAGGAAGTCTAAGCGATTGATCCCAAGAACTGTGCGTCAAGCTGACCTTCTCTGTCCAGAGTTACATCTATTATTAGTTATAGAGAAGAAATTGGGCTAATGACTCTTCCACTAGGCAACATCCAATAACAAAAGGTACCCGAAAAGTAGAAGTCTTCTTTCTCTCTGTAAAGACATCATCTGAATTCATAATATTTTTTTCCATACCGTTTGTTTTACCATAGAGATCAGCCATAGCTTGAAGTTTCTCAATAATATCTTTATTGATTTCAGTATTCTTTTTAGCTGTTTGCGAAGACATTGAACACATCCAATTACCTTTCTATATTAGAAAAAAATAATGATTCGTTTTTAAAAAAGTAACTTGTTTGTAACATACTGGTAGTTCTCCATGTTTATATGGATTTTTAACCGTATCATTATAATCCTGAGGAAATAAAAGCAAATGATTAAAAATGAAAAAGATTTTTTTTTTTTATAAATGAAACTAACTTCCATAATATCATCATCCTCATCAGATGAATAACGTCTTTGTTTAACTTGTGTTGCAGATCCACCTTGAGGTTGATCATCAGATAATCTTCGTTTAGATTTATTTTGAAAACGTTTCTTTTCTTCTATAATTGGTTCTTGTGAAAAAGATGGCATTGCTTTTTTTCGAATAAGAGGTGCTCGAATGATATAATCTTTCGTTAATGGAAGTAAATGTCTTTCTTTTAATGAATCACTTAACCATTTTGTTTGAATAATAATTGGTTTTGGTCTTTCATCATTTTCTGATGGATCTAATTTTAATATTGAATATACTTTGGGTGCATCAAATTGTTCATCAACAATAATAAAACGAACATTTTCTGGTGATGTTAAAAGTTGAAGATGAAATTGTTGAATAGCATTTGTAAATATTGTACGACGATCTCTGCCAATACCATTTGGTAAAAAATAAAAAGTTGCATTTGAATCAGATGGAATTAAATCAATTGATGATATATTTTCATCAAAATCGTTCTTTGTTGAAGAACTTGACATTATTAAAACAAAGATTTATATTGTTTACAAGAAAAAACAAAATCAATTTTTGATTTCACCGGGTTTTTAAATGTATGTAGATCAACAGAAGATCTTTATATTTACAGAGAATGAGTCATATTGATTACTTTTCTGTTTTATTTCTTTCTTTCTTTATATTTCTATTACTTCAACCAGACAGTCAGTCGAACTCATAATGACAACGATAGATGGAGTTAATTGTTATTTTATTCAGATGTAACATGATGACACACACTATGGTTGGTAGACTGTCAGACCCTAAATGACTCAAATTTTGTTCGTTGCTGCTTATGCTTCAGTTATACATTTTATTCATGGTTTCGAATCAATGAGTCCTATGTAAAAATTTACGCATCGAAAAATTTTAAATCGAACCAGATGCTTTCCGTTAGGAGAAAGTTTCTGTAAAATATGTTTTTTTTTAACTGAGTGTTACACTCATGCTGCTCTACATAATTTTCACCGAAGTGGTTCTTGGCAGAGTGAAGAGAATATGTGGGCGCCCTTCATGATTATATGATAATTATGTGCCTCTTTAAGTTGCCGACTACTTTATGTGAAAAAATTCTTGATTTATTCAGTACATCAAGATGTCATAGAGATGTCGCTGATAGGAACTGTATCTGATAATAGTTGCAAGAAAGAAATGTCTTTTAAACCCTCGGACAGTATACCAACGTATATATATTTTTTCACACGATATCAATATTGAAGATAAGAGTCAACGAATAATTTACTTTTACCAAGATTTCTGCGCTTGTGTCGTCGTGAATAATTATGGCTACCGTCCCTGAGCAAGCATCGAAAGCAAGTGGTGACTGGTCTCGATTGTTGGTAAATAAAGTCGTATTTGTTACGGGTGCTGGTGGAGCTATAGGTTCAACTATTGCACAAACATGTGCAATACATGGTGCACGTGTCGCAGTCGCCGATATTAACAAAAATACCGCTGATGAAACAATAGCAAAAATGATTGACGAAGATGCAAGTAAGAAAGATTATATGATGGCTATTGAGCTTGATGTAACTAATGAAAAATCAATTGAAAATGCAGTCAAATCTGTTGTAGACAAATGGAACACAATTGATATACTTGTCAATAAGTAAATATGTTAATTCATTCATTGATTTAAAAAAAAACCATTGATTTTATATTTTATCTTACAGTGCTGCCATTTTTACATTTGGTGCTGTTGAAAATGTATCAGCAGATGAATGGTCAAATATATTAAATGTTAATGTACGTGGTTATGCTTTAATGGCTAAAGCTGTTGTTCCTCTAATGAAAAAGCAACAATCAGGTTCAATTATACAAATGGCTAGTATTAGTAGTTGGGTTGCTCAACCTGAATTTGTACCATATAGCACAACAAAAGGAGCTATACTACAAATGACACGTAATTTAGCACTTGATTTAGGTCCATTTAATATTCGATGTAATGCAATTTGTCCTGGTGCTACACTTACACCAGCTTCAGCTAAACATGCAGCTAATTTAAATATATCATTAGATGAACTTGTTGCAGCACAAGAGACAAAACAATGTTTAAAACGATGGGGTACAACACAAGAAATAGCAAATTTAACAGTATTTTTAGCTTCTGATTTATGTCATTTTGCTACAGGTGCTAGCTTTTTAGTTGATGGAGGTTATACAACCATTTAGAGACATTGATTTTTAATTTATATTTATAAATTTTTACTTTGATTGATATTGCTTTTTAATTCGAATTAGTTTATTAGAAGTTAGAATTTTTTTTTCTTAATTTATAATATTGAATTTTTTGCTAGATTTCGTTCAAAAACAAACATGTTAAACAAATGTTTTTTGGACTTTTTTGCATTCCCAGTTGGAACAATCAACTAAGCTAATAAATAATATAAGTGTCAAAGAAAATGTTATTAAATTCGTCTTTTTTTAAATGAGATACCTTGTAATATAATCATATACTTTTCTGCAAATCAAAGACTTCTTTTTGTCTAAAAGCACACAATTTAATATTGAAAGTCGACTTGGTATTTAAAATTTATTTTGTAAAAACTTGTTTGTCATGATGTGTCAGTGAATATAGAAAGTTTAATAATTGGAAAGATATGAGGTATAGTACGAGATCAAATCAATGTCATGATTCGTGATCTTTCTTGACCTCACATAAGACTGCTAAGAACATCAAAATGCTTATTAGCAGACTTACTAGGTTTTGTATATCTCTATGGAAAGTTTATTTATCATGCATTACCACCAATTTTCATATATATGATTCAATCCGAATCTTTGTTATTGTTTTACAAATATTTCATTATTTTTCAGAAACTTGAGAGTCAGGTTCCGTCAATTCAAACTGCGAAAAAAAACTACGTTTACTTTTCATGTGATAACCCATGTTTACTTGAAATTGTTGTTCTCTCCGAATAGCTACAGATGACTTCCATTATATCACATGCCGCTTTGTGTCAATATTGTCGATGCATATGTAAAGTGAATTGTGTTTTCGTTGTTCTGTAGGAAGAAGAAAAATATTCCTTCTTTCGGTAGTAAATTTAAGTGAGGACATCAAACACCAGTTTCACAGTTGAAAAAGAAAAGAAAGACGGAAGAATAACCAAGACACTTTGTCTATCTCGAAAAACTTTGCCGTACAAATATGGCTACTAGCAAAAGTCCACCGTCCAAAGTATCTACCTCAAAAAATAAAAAAACAATTGAATCCATCACTCCTAATCTTGAATCATTTACATGTTTATGGCTTGATCAGAATGTTGATTTGACACAAGATAACCGAGATACTCAACAAGAACTTCGTAAAATCATCAATCATCTTCAAACATTTGATAATAGTGATGAATGTGAGGAGTATATTCGAAAGATCACTCAAGAAAAAATTGTTCTGATTGTATCAGGTGCATTAGGTCGACAAGTCGTACCTCGACTTCATGATCTTCCACAATTTTCTGCTTGTTATGTTTTTTGTCAAGATAAGAAGGCCAATGAACAATGGGCTAATAAATACTCCAAGGTAATATATTTGATTCCAATTGTGGCAATTTTTTTGATTTTTGTATTCCAGGTCAATGGTGTTTTTGTTGAACGTGCTAAACTCGTTGCTCAAATCTCTAAAGATCAAATCGCTCGAGCTAAAGTGGAAGATGGTGCTTCAATATCAGTAATTACCTCTGGTTCTCAAACTCTTCAAGCTCGTAATGCTATTTTTATGTGGTTCCAGTTATTTATTGAAGTTCTTCTTCGTATGCATCATAAGTCTAGTGATCGTAAAGAACTTATTGATATTTGTAAGAATAGTTATAAAAATAACGATGAAGAGATGAATATCATTGATGAATTTGAAAAGAACTATCAAGCAGAAAATGCAATATGGTGGTATACACGTGAATCATGTTTTTATCGAATGATGAATAAAGCGTTACGTGTTCAAGATTTTGACATCTTATTTACTCTTCGATTTTTTATCACGGATATCGCCAAGCAGATAACAAATGAATACCAAAAATTTATTCGTACCAGCGAGACTCGAAATATTATTCGAGTGTATCGTGGTCAAATAATTGGAAATGATGAACTTAAATTAATGAAGAATAATATCGGTGAGTTTCTTTCGATGAATTCATTTTTATCGACTAGTCGTAATCGATCAACTGCTCTTCATTTTGCTCGACTAACTCCAGCTATTGAGGGTATTCAACGAATCATCCTTGAAATTGATATTGATCCACGTTTACAAACTAAGGCTTTTGCTGACATAACAAAAATAAGTTATTTTCAACATGAAGATGAACTATTGATTATGTTGGGCGCCTTATTTCGCATCGAAAAAGTTATTGAAGATAAGAAGGATCGAGTATGGGTGGCTCATGTATCTCTTGCAAGTGAGGACGATTTTCATCTAAAAGAGACATTTGCTCATATGAAAGGAACCATAGGTGATGATACTGATTTGCATTCTCTTGGTAAAATTCTAATCGAGATGGGTGAGTATGATCAAGCGCAAAAATGTTACGATTTGATGATGCGAGACTTACAGCTTGGCGTCAGTAGAGCATATGGGGGGCTCGGAATGGTCGCTTTTAGAAAAAAGGATACGAATCAGGCACTTGAGTATGTGCGATCAGAACAAGCCATCAAAGAATCTATTTTACCGAAAGATCACGCTGATTTAGGGACCTTATATAGTTTTATTGGGGGACTACATTGGTCTAATTCTGATTGCGACCAAGCTTTAGTTTACTTGAATATGGCTCTTAAGATTCAAGAAAAGGCAAACCCAATTGATCTTCATAGCTTAGCTAAAACCTACAATAGAATGGCTGTTACGTACGACGAGATGAATGAACATGACTTAGCTTTAGAGTATTACAACAAATGTCTCAAGATCCAAAAAGCAACACTGCCACCTGACCATCCTCAAATAGCTAAGACATATAATAATTTCGGTTGCATGTTTCGTGACAGAGGAGATTATGTTCAAGCGATGGAGTACTATCAAATATCTCTTTCCATCAGTCGAAAAACTCTGCCACCTACTCATGAAGACATCGTTCGAACTGAAAATAATATTCGTGAGTTGAAGGATAAAATGAAAAAATAATGTGATATCGGCGGATACCCGTACAATCGAACATTCACATACTACCTGTGGAGCTCATGTTCTTTTATTTATTTTTCTGTGTCTACGTATTGTTTATTTAAGACAACCTTTTTGATTAATAAAATTACAATGTGCGCAGTAGAGAAAACTAAGTAAAGTTCTCTCTATTGTTCTCCTGAAACTCTAATAGTTTCATATTTTTCAAGTATTTATGATAAAGCATAAACAATATTTCATGGTTNCAGCTATTGAGGGTATTCAACGAATCATCCTTGAAATTGATATTGATCCACGTTTACAAACTAAGGCTTTTGCTGACATAACAAAAATAAGTTATTTTCAACATGAAGATGAACTATTGATTATGTTGGGCGCCTTATTTCGCATCGAAAAAGTTATTGAAGATAAGAAGGATCGAGTATGGGTGGCTCATGTATCTCTTGCAAGTGAGGACGATTTTCATTTAAAAGAGACATTTGCTCACATGAAAGGAACCATAGGTGATGATACTGATCTTGACTCTCTCGGCAAAATATTGTTTCAGATGGGTGAATATAAACAATCACAGAAATGCTATGAACTTATGATGCATGATCTCCAAGTGCGAACAGCCAATTGTCATATGGGACTCGGTAAAGCAATAGATTGGCAAAAGGAGTGTGAGCCAGCATTGTCTCATTACAAACAAGCGATGGCAATCAGGAAAGAAGTGTTTTGCGCGAATCATGAGAGTGTTGGAGAGGTTTATTGTTCTATTGGTATTCTATATTCGTCTTTGAGAAGTGAACACGATGAAGCTTTGACTAATCTGAAAACGGCAATCAAAATTCAAGAAAAGAGCCTTCCGTCAAACTTTCCTGCGCTTGCCAGAACTTATCTCAATACAGCATACGTATACAACGAGATGAATGAACTTGAGTTAGCTTTAGAGTATTATGACAAAGGTCTCAAGATCCAAAAAGCAACACTGCCACCTGACCATCCTCAAATAGCTCTGACATACAATAATCTCGGTTGCATGTTTCATGACAGAGGAGATTATGTTCAAGCGATGGAGTACTATCAGAAATCCCTTTCTATCAGTCGAAAAACTCTACCACCTACTCATGAAGACATCGTTCTAACTGAAAAAAATATTCTTAAGTTAAAGGATAAAATGAAAAAATAATGTGATATCGGTGGATACCCGTACAATCGAACATTCACATGCTACCATATGCAGCTCATGTTCTTTTATTTGTTTTTCTGTGTCTACTTATTGTTTATTTAAGACAATCTGTTTGATTAATAAAATTGCAATGCGCGTAGTAGAGAAAATTAAGTAAAGTTCTCTCTATTGTTCTCCTGAAACTCTAATAGTTTCATATTTTTCAAGTATTTATGATAAAGCATAAATAATATTTCAGGGTTCATAACTTTGTTTTATAACAAATTTTCAATATGGTGAGCAGATATATTATTGATACTTGATGATGGTCTCCGTTATGTAGTCATCAGCATGTAGCAATATAACGCAATATTTTCCATTTGTAATAGTTGCTTCAATATGCAAATCGCGCACAACGCTGTTTTCTCCATGACATGTTGATTGTTCAACTTTTGATAAACATATTGTTTTACAAACTTATAGTCACGCTCTTAGAATCTTTACCGTCATAGGGCAGAGAGATCGAGAATATTATAAAGTCAATTTCTATTTAACGAAGTTAAAAGTCATTGAGTTCTATTTTTCTAAAATTGACCAAGTAATTCAGGAAAAAGCTTGCTCATAATACCCTGCAAAACCCAATTTCTATGCAGTGCACACGACAGTTATCTTGCTTTTTATGGAAACAAAAAATATACCAAGATGATCTCCCACTCTTTTGAATGCTAGAAGAAGAAACCTTGTCTGAACTGAATTTTCTAGAACTATTGTCAAAAACTTTGTCATCCCATGTAAGGAAAATTATCAGACACTTCGAGTTTGTTCCGCGACGATCCACCTCAGTGATCAAACCATATGCAGCATGGCGAGCTCTGTGTAGTAATATAATCGAATTTGATTAAAGTTGAGCAGAACGACAAAAAATACATATATTGAATGTCTCCCATAGCGAAAAGTTGACATTTTTCGTCAAATCGGTGATGACTCTTGCGTAAACAATCGAATCATGATTTATCCGTCGATCGATACAGAATCCAGAACTCTATCGAATAGTTTATACTTTATGAATCGCATACGTAGTGAGATAGCGAATCTTCATGTACACATAATAATCCAAAATTTACCGTTATACGCTTTTTGTTTGGTTTTCTGAGATTCTAACGACACATGATTTGTCTTCATTCACAAGTCTTTTGAAAGAGTATGAAACTTTGAATACAGTAATATATGATTAATGAGTAGCCTACGTACTCAGATGAATCATTATGAATAAGATGATTTGACACTAAGTTTTCGAAACTTCCATAGAATATAGCTTTGTTCAAACAATTTTATATAAATGAAATATACATCGTTCCATAGAACTCGAAGTTTTGCATTGATTAGTGTGCGATCTACGACTAACTTATGTTTTCAGGCGAATAATCACTTAACAAATAATGCCAACTTTTCGGTATGAGTTGTATTGAATATTTTCGTTTTTTATCACTATACAGTTTACCTTTGGTCTAATCTGATCATATTGTTAGGTATTGCTCGCCAAGTTGCATTTGGCTTAGTTACTGAAGTGAATCATGTGATAACCTATCTTACATTGTACTTCTCGGTAGAATACTTGAAAATGTTACCACAAACAGAATCCTTTTTTCAAATGAACAAAAATTTATTGTACTACTCTTTAGATGAACACACATGCAGTAAACATTAAACGTTGTCAAAACTGATTCGCAAGTATTCCTTTGAGAAAAACGATGTAGGTAGAAAATTTGGAAAGAATGATTAGTAGACAATATAAGAAAATAAGACTGTATCATTACTATAAAAGTCTTGCGCATTTCATAAACATTTATATTCACAGCAGATGTTTAAAGTGATAACATTTGTACGTTTAGTACGTCTTAAGTTTTAAGAAGCTTGACTTGCCATCGTAACTGCTCGGAATCCGTTAGATAATTGCTGTTATTTTAGTGACGAACAGTTAATCGGTGTTAAACAGTGTATTAATCAGTCAACCGCTTGTCCGATTATATGTTGATTTTACGCTGCGATATTTTAATCATCAAGTAAATAACTGTAAGTAACCGTCAGTCACTAATATAATCGAAATTTTATCACCCGTTTTCAACTAGTTACTAAGATATGTATAGACAAAAAAAAACAAATAATTTCACTAGACATTTGATTGTATTAATAGAATTTCACACAAAATATATTCTGTAAGATAACCTGGTCATTATAAACTAAAAAGAAAAGCACTGTAGTCTAGCGTAAAACACTTGATTACAGTGATATAACAGCATGTTTGACTGGTCTTTTCCATTTTCAAAATTATTTAACAAAAGACTTATGACTAAATGTAACTATAGTATAGAAGGTTTTAGGAATACTGCGACGAGACAACTCAAAATTGTTGATATCGTATGAAAAAATATTAAAAAAAAAACACTGTTATTGAAATGAATACAAATATCGAAAAAAAAGAATCAAATAATAGTTGGTGTCATTGTATTTGTATCAGTTACAGCACGATTAATAGCTATATCCTTATCTTGTTGTGCCATAGACGTTTTAAGTGTACTTATAAGACTTCTTGGTGCTTTTAAAATCGTTGTTTCATGTATAATTTGTGTTATATTACTAGGCATTCCACTTAATTCCATAGTTGATGTTTGTGTACCTTCTGTTCGATCTGTTTGTGTTCCACGTTCAGTATCCCAAAGTTTAGGTTGAGTTTGTGCGTCACGTGTTGATTTATGAATTACTTTTTTACTTTTGGCTACAGGATCAAATTTATCTGATGTATCAACACCAACATCACTTATATTATGTCGAGCATTACCAGATGCATGTAAATCATGACAAACAGGACAAACAAATGGATGATGATAAGATGTTGGTGGAAATGGTTGAACATGATGATTATGATGCGGATTAACATGATAATAAGGATGAGGATGGGAATTGTTAGTTACATTTCGTGGTTGTTGATGTTGAATAATAAATGGTTTTGGTTTTTTTTCTTTACCTTCAGCTATTCGACGACTTCGTCGTAGAGCAAAAGCTTTTTCTCTAGCTTCTTTTTCTTGTAAAATTTTATACAAAGCTTCTTGTTCGCGACTTTTCTTATTTCCATCATTACAACAATCAAGAAAGATAATGACAAAAGTAATAACAGCTAATGTGCCTGCACCACTAATACCATATAATTTAATTACTTGTTCTTTCGATGAATCTATTTCATAGATAAAGTTAGAAATAGAAGACAAATATTTATGAAAACTTACCAGTCACATAGTAAAGAATCGATAAGACAAGACATATGAAAGAAATAATAAATAAAATACCAATGCAAATGTACCAAACTATGGCTGAAGCTATGATGAAAAATAAAATAGTAGATTTAAATCAAATATTGATTGTAAAAAAAAACATAGCAAATAGTGATGAATTTCTATTGTAGATATTTTTCTCACCTATTGTGATGCCGAATGGACCACGAAATGAAGGTCGATCAGTAGGACTCTGTCATTCAATAAAAAGGAAAAAAAACAACAAAATTAATGAATATTAAAATTCATTATGGTAGTTAATGACCTGTGGTGGTGAAGATTCTGACTCTTTTAATTTTTGAAAATTTTCTTTCTCTATTTTTGCTGATGTTTGTTCATCATCGAATGATTGATCATCAGAAAAACTTTTTTTATGATTATAATTACCAGTAATCAATTTATTTGTACTATTTGCACTATGTTCAATCATGAAGATATTTTATGTTATCAAAAAAAAAAAGATTGTTTCAAAACGAAACATTGATTTACCTGTTAGGGTCTGCCATTTCGTCGTCTTGATTACTGCATTTACTTTACTTGCACTGTTTATTCAAATTTTAAAAGCATAAAGAAAATGAAAACATACACAGGAAAGAAATCAAGAGCATACAGCTTTGTTTTTCAATCATTTAGTAAAAAAAAGGGCGTGCAAAGAACAAAATTCTTAAAGTAAATAAAAAAAAAAAAAAAAAGAAAGAAATGAACATTATTATTATTTTTAATAGCGTTTTCTCCATTTGATTGAATGTATTCTATTCGTAAAAACATACATGAAAATATATCTAATAATCAATATGAAGACAAAAATATGGATACGATGAATGTTATATTACTCTGCATGATGCGTAGAAAGTTTTTTTTTTTAATCATTATCTCATTTACAGTTACTACTACAGTATTGCTTAACAACAACAATAACAACATGTTATCAAATTATTTTTTTTTTCTTGTTCGAAAGCGAAGCTAAAAAAGATAGAAAGATTGATTTCTTCAGACAAGCGTATAATTTCAATTTGTTCTTTATTCTCTTGTTGTACCATCATTTCCATTGAGACCAAAACCCGGAACTTTGCTCACGAGATTGTAATCAATCCTTGGAAAATATTATCATCAATCATTTCTTACAATGATAAAGATCATTATCTCTTTTGATAAAAAGATACAACAAAATATGTGTACGCAAATATACGATTTTGTCACGAGCGTAAAGTTTTCTCAGTTGTTGATAATTCACTAAAGAGTCATACGGGCATTTCTCTATGTATGTGCACACTGTAATAAGATAATCTTATCAACATCATCATCATCATCATCATACACAACAACTGCCTGCTTAGCGTTCTCGCGTTTTTAAGCTTGTCATTTTCTTCAACACACTATCGATTGGTATATATACAATTGTCTTTTTTTTTTCTTTTTTATGTTTTTCTTGATGCTGATTGTGCCAAAGGCCATTCGCTAATAGAGACATCATTTATCGTTTTACGTATGTGTGGCATACATACATTTTATTAAGTCTGGTCGACTTAGAATAATTAACATGTCACCCTATATTCTTATATTATTGTTTATTATTATGAACGATTTATCATTTATTAAAGCTCAAACATATGGAATCATGTTGCCAAATATGACATGTGTAAATATTTCATTGGCAAGTTTATCATCACGAGGTGATGATAGATTTGTTCAATTGAAATTATTTGCATCACCACAATTCATGTCAAATTATTCACTTTCATGTGGAAGATTTGATATGTAAATATTTTCTTAGATTTTAAATTTTTATAAAAAAAAGATGAAAGATTGATTTATTCTATATAGACGATCTACTCATGCAATATATGCTAAATCAATTAATTCAGTAGTTGAAAGTCTTTGTTCAATTTTACAAGCACGTCCATTACTTTTAATTTATTTAAATGATTATACGAATGAAAATCATGCATCACCAGCAGCTTATATATTTTTTCTTAAATTATTTACATATTTACAATATCCAATGTTAACATTTCATTATTTTCATCCATTTCATCCAGGAGTAAATTGAGAATTTTTCTTAATAATTATTTTTTTCATTAATTTTCTTTAGAAATTTCCAAGTTTTCGATTTTTTCAATTAGCACCAACATATCGAGAAGAAGCACGAGCTTTAATATCATTAATGGAACGATATGATTGGAATACATTTTCATTAATTATTGATCCTAAACTGCCAGGTGAAGAAGAACTTACAGATGAATTTGAAACACATGGAAATGAACAACGAAATTGGTAGATTTATTTAAGAAAATTTTCTTTATTAATATTAAGAAAATTTATTTTAGTAAAAGAACTTTCTGTAACCGTAATCATTTGAAAGGACAAAAAAAGTAAATATATTAAACATTTCATTTCTCTTGATCATTAAATGAAACTTTTTTTCAAACATTTTCTTATTATTAATTTGAATGAAAATTAACTTTATTAACCTATAAGAAAAAAAAAATCGACTTTTTTTTTCCCGTCAATCTTATTATTTAATCAAATAACTTGGATGCATTGATTTTATTTAATCTAGACTACTATTAGATATGGAAAATAATTATTAATAGACAACTGGGATTGAGACATTAAGAAAAAATATCAATCATGCGAATCAATGAATTCGTTGATCCCATGAGTATTTTGTACAAAAAGAAACTACATAACTATCATGGCGACATTGAATTTGTATAAAAAAATTTTTCGAATTAATTTTTTTTATTCTGATTAGATTAACTATACTTTCAAAAATTCGTATGAGCAATACAAATCCAACGCTTATAAAACAACAATTATCATTTATGAATCCTGAAACACGTGTTATTATTGTTCATACAACATCGTATGGAATTTTTTCTTTTGTTTATTTTTTGTCTTCACAATTTTTTTTTTTCATTTTAATTAGAACATTAGCATCATTAATTGTTAAAATAGCAAGTAATATGAGTCTCACTGGAGCTGAATATATGTGGATTATGTCATCGATTGTACTTTGTAAGTTTTGAAAAAAAAAAGATGGTTTTTCGAATCTTATACTTCGTATTTGTAGCAACATATAGCGGTGGGGCTGAACCAAAAATGAATCCTTATGATAATCCAAACCGACGAAAAATAGATTTTTATGCTGGCACATTAGGTTTGCAAGTTATTCTTCTCTAACTAATAGTGTGAACGTTTCTGAACAACATGTTATTTCACTTGTCGATCGATTATCACAGTCAACAGAGTATTGAAAACATTGAGTTCGGAGATGTTCATTGTCCGCATCGCTGAAGAAAATTTGAAGCACAATAACTAGGCAGCCGCTCCTTCTGTTCGTCTTTCTTCTTATTTGCCTACTGAGAGGCCGCGCCATTGTCATACCAACTGTTAAATTTTTGTATAAACGAATGTACATTAAACGCTGAAAAGTTAACAGAAGAAATTCAATCGATAACAGATTCATTCTTTCGGAGATATCGTTGTTTTTACTACCCTATTTCATACTTCTTTGTTGAATTTATACATTAAACCGTATTCAGTACTGATTAAAAGTATCCTAATAAAAACTCAACCGAACGTCTAGTTCAGTCGATTTCATTGTGACGATAATAATATAGATTCACCTTAAACTTAAATTTACAAAAATTTAACGACGATATAAGTTAAGACGAAAATTAACACTATAACTGTATATAGATATGTTCGATTACATCTCGCCTAATGAAAGATTTTTTCATGATATTTTCAACTTTATATTATTGCTCTTAATGAAATATTCAGAAATGCAGAACTATTCTTTATAAATATTTTAGAGCAACAAATATCAGAGAAATTTGATGAAAAACAAAATTTCAGTGAACGTTAAACGCATAGTGCGTATCTCTGATTGGATTAGAATTTTGTGCTCTTTCCGACGATATGTTTGCAATTTGTGTGGAATTTATAGGTTAGAAATTATGAATGAACCGGTGAAAGCCTCGAAAATAAAATTCGAATGGATTTCAATGAGCAAAAGGTCTATTCAAGCCGCAGAGCTAAAATTTACCAGAAACTTTTAATAAAAGAAAGAGCAACGATTTTTTTTTGAACAAAATGATATTCAAATCATTAATTTTCTATGACACTTCTATCAAAAATAAGACATTTATTAAAAGACATATTGACGTCTTCGAACTCGTTGATTTCCAGAGTTACAAAATCAGCATGGTTATTTTTGAAGAATTGCTGCGAGACTTTCCATATTTAGTTTATTCTGTAGAGGACTGGTTTGCTCTTTACGCTATGCAAAAAAACATTAGTAATAGACGGTATTTAATAAGAGCATTAGTGCTGTGAATGACATATATTGTCTAAGTGTCAATCGAAAAAAATTTCAAAATGTGTTGCAGTCAAGCAAAGAGCCATGGAACTAGTGGCGTAACCAGGATTTTCTAGGATGCTGGCTCTCAACTTTAGAGTATGGATCCCTGTTGAAACTTATGGGGGATGATATTGGTCCTAAATGATGAGTTTCTACCAACTAATTTTTTCGATCGGAGTTTGCCAAACAAATTAGCATTTTCCTGAGCCTCCCAAGAAATTTTTAAAATTGTCAGTAGTATCGAACTTTTAAGGATGCCACCGAAAGCTACACCGAATTTCATCGACAGATTTCAAATTTCACCCAAAAATATCAATCCGTTCGGGAGTTACAACGTTTTGAATCTCAGTCGCAATTTCTGAGTAATGTTGTAAA